TAACAAAAATAAATAAAATAAAATAATAAAATAAAATAAAACAGTAGGTGATAGAACATCGTCCAGGTCCAAGTCCTCAATACTCTGAGTAGCTGGGGTTGGAGCAGAGAGCGAGAGTCGGGGCTGGAGACTCAGGACAGCGGTGACAGGGTGAGATCCGGGCACTCTGGAGGACAGACTGCTCCAGCGAGAGGAGGTGCGACAGATCAGGACACTGGGAACTCGGGACGTGGCAGCACCGTGATCATGGGGCCCCGTGAGCAGAATCCATGACATGGAGCCTGGGTGGGTCCTTGCAAGGCCAGAGGGGCTGAGACACTCCTCAGAGGGACCAGCTCCGTGTCACGGGCGCTCGCGAGGACACTCCTGGCCTGTGGCTGCACGGCTGTGACTCCCTGCAGTCTGGTCTGATGACAGCTTCTGAGAGGTCCTGGTGGCTGCAGAGCCACGCACGACCTCAGCAAGCCGGGGCTCTGGCCCTGTGGATCCCCCAGCTCCTCATGTGGACTCTGTGATCAGAGGACCGCAGCTGGCTTTTATTTCAGGGGAGCGCCACCTCCTCCCTGATTGCTCGGAGGGCCTGCTTCCAGGCTCCCCGGCACAGTGGCCAGCACGGCCACACGGCCACACGGGCCTGCGGGCCTGCGGGCCTGCGGCTCCGGCTCCTGCCCGCTCACTGGTAAGCCACCTGGGTTCTCATCACCTGCACTCCCGCCAGGAGTCTGCCTGCAGTCCCCTAGGAAAATGCCGCTGCCTAAAATCACGTTTCCATGAAAAAGAAAAAAGCACCTCCCTGGCTGTGTAGTTAGAAGAAGATTCATAGGACTTTTTGTGACCAGAAATAACCTTTGTTGGTGGAGCGGGAACACCTGTAACTGAAATCCATGCGCGTGCTTGGTGACGCGGGTGTTCACAGTCCGAGTGTGACCCGGCCTGTCTCTGCACTTGATGTCGGCGCAGCCTGAGTGCCTGTCCACTGAGAGTCACGACCGGGGGGGAGGGGCTGCGCAGGCCTGGGCATTCCAGAGAACAGTGCACGGACGCGCTACTCCAAGGGAGCAGATGGAACACGTAGTGTTTAATTTTTACCTTCTCATCTTTGTGGAGCCTGGGGAAGTGGTCCTTTTGGCCTTATTATCTCACCTCGACAAACTGAATACATTCTTCCTTAGCTTAAGGCCAAGCAAATTTGAATTAGAAACTGGAGGAACTGGACATGCGTGGTCGAGGTTCCTACTTCGAGGACCTGGGACGGCTGCACTTCACCCTGTGGAAAGGTTCCCCCGGGGCACTCAGCCTCAGACCCAGGTGGCGAGCCCTTCCGCCACCCCAGGTTCCCAAATCTGCCAGTAACAAGAATCATCGAGGGCACTTCTTAAAGCTGCAGTGCCCAGATCTCCGCCCAAACCTAGCGAATCGGAATTCAGGGCAACACCCAGTACTATTACTGACCACAGTACTCTGGAACTAGAAAGTCACACAAGTCACAAATGCAAGCTGCGTGTGTCATTTTGAGTTTTCCAGTAGATATTTAGAACTAAAAAAAGTGTGAAACTAATTGTAACATATTTAACACAATATAGCCAAAAGATTACCATTTCAACATGTAATCAGTACTTTTTAAATCATTGCAATATTTTAGTCTTTTCCCCGCATATTAAATCTTCAAATCCCAGTGTGTATTTTATACGTACAGCACATCCCATTGTGGACCCACCACATGTCGGTGCTCAGATGCCCATCTGTCCTGTGCTGCTGTGTTGCAGACATGGTCTAGAGTTGTTACTCCTCCGTGGCTTCGTATTGTTTCCATCCAGATGAGCAACAATGGAGACATGACTTTTATGCAGGCATCTGCCTCACTCAGAGGACAACAGATAAAGAGCCCGCATTTTAGGGTTACATTTGAGGGTTAGCCTATCTTTATGTCTTTCTGTCCTGCAGTTTATTAGCACCACGCTCTAACCAGCTGAGCTAACTGGCCATCTGTTGCCCTGCAGTTTATGTGAGCAGTTCACCCCCATCCCCCCAAGGCCCAGGGAGTTCTTAGAGGCAGTTTTCAGTTGCAGGCAGTGGCTCCCCATCCCCACCCCCAGCTGGGGTTGCACAGGGTCTGAGGGCCTCTCCTGCCTTCCTGTCCTCCTGGAGAAGTTTGCTCTGATCTCTCAGGGGCTGGGTACTAAGGAAGCCCTTTGTTTGGGGGGGGGAGGGGGCTGGGAGTTTCATGTTCTGCCTGTCTACTGTGTGGGGCAGGGGTATGGATGTCACTCGAGAATGATATTGCTCTGGGCAGGGTTTTTGTGTGTGTGTGTGTGAATTTATTGAGTTCATGGTGACTTTTTTTCGGGCTTAAACTTATCTTTATTGTTGAATGTATTACAGATGTCCCTCCTTTGTTCCCATTGACCCCCTCCTCCCTGTTCCCACCCCCTACTATTGTCTGTGTCCATTGGTTATGCATATATGCATATAAGTTCTTATAAGGTTTATCTCTTCCTGCCCCCCCTTCCCTTTGGGGTTCATCAGTCTAACAATGAATTGTACTTCTTAATTCCTTCACCTTTTTCACCCATCTCCCCCAACCTCCTCCCATCTGGCAATCATGGTGACTTTTTTGTTGTTTTAATCCTCACCCAAGGATATTTCTTTCATTCCTTTTAGAGAGAGTGGGAGGAAGGGAGAGAGACAGAGAGAGAAACATCGATGTAAGAGAGACACATCGATTGGTTGCCTCCCGCACGATGAACTTGCAACCCAGGTACATGCCTTTGACCAGGAATCAAACCCTTGCCCCTTTGGTCCGAGGGCTGACGCTCTTAACCGCTGAGCCACACCAGCCAGGGCCATGGTGACATTTTTAATTCTCATCACAAATTTTTCCCATTTGCACTATTAACTTTAGAATGAAAAGAATCAAAGCAATAACAAAATGTAGAAGTAACCCTTCCCTATTCTTTTTAATTATTTTAGCCAGAGGGAAGCAGGGGAATCGTTCCTGTTCTGACCATCCTCGGCCGAGCTGGGTTAGGGAGGGAGAGAGCTGCTCTCCCAGGACACTAATCTCACTTCTCGTAGGAAATGGTGCCACTCTCTGATTCCTGTAGGAAATGCAACCACATTTCCTGGTGGCTGTTAGGGCCGGGAGGGGGATCCCCTGAAGAACGATGCCTCTGAGGAACTCAGGGCTGGTTGTTAGGCTCCACTTGGAAAGCTCTCTCCCCAACCTCATTCACAAAGCCAGCCAGGATTTCTGTGTTGCAATTCCTTTGTTTCTGTTTGGAAAGCTTGACTTGCACTGATAGTATAAGCTGGAGGCAGAAATGGAAAAGATTAGATATTTGAAAGGCCGAGCAGGGAGAACCAGCTGCTGAACCATCTCCCCAAGAGTCCTCCACCCCAAGATCCTCCTCCCTGCCCCTCCTACAGGAAGAACAGAGCTCACGTACTTGACTGAGTTATAAAAACTTCAAGCAATGAAAGACTTGCCCTCTTCTGTGAGTTAACCTTTGCTGAGTGTTGTTTAGCCTTCTGGTCTGTTGTTAGTATGTCAGGTTTGTAGTTGTCTTTGCAAAAGTGGCATCCAGTAGAACTCACCCTTTTCACTTGGCAGTTTATCGGATACCATGCCAGTGCATTTTGATCTGCAGTGTTTAAGTGGCAGAGTGGTACAGATATACTTTAACCTGGTTGTTTCCCCCTAAGCTGTTATAACCAATGCTAAAGTGAATGCAACTGTATTCTCATGGATCTTTCGGCACCTACACTGTTTCTGTAAGACAACTTCCTAGAAATCAAGTTGCTTAGTCAAGGGATGTGTTCATTTTTCATTTTGCTGGATGCTGCCAAATTGCCTTCCAAATCAATCATGCTAATTTACGTTCCTCATACCCTCGCAGTAAGGTCTTTTAGGGGAGTTTCTTCCATATGTACCGGTTTCTTAGTATGCTCCAAGGAGCCAGTACCTTCAGGGAGCTGACCCTGTCTTAACCATTGTCACTGAGAGGCCGCCACCCAGGCACGGCACTCAGCACTGGGGATACACTGGGAACCAAACCAAGTAAGATCCTTGCTAGAGCCCACGTGCCAGTGGTGAACCGGCGGAGCCCAGATGCATAAACCAGATCATGGCAGGTTGCATTGGGTGTGCTGCGTGCGACGCCATGCTGTGACCTGGGAGTACGCTGAATGGGCACCAGAAAATTCCTACGTCAGAGCCCACGGAATGTGAAGCCATGGAGGGGGGAAGGGGGGCAGCGGCAGTGGGGTCTCAAATGTAAGTGCAAATGTAATTTAAGTACTTTAAAAGGAAATGAGGACCTTTAAAATGAGACTACTACCAATTCTACTCCATCTACATTTTTGTTTGTAAGGTAAGATCATGTCGATTTCTTTTTTTAAAAAAATATTTTTTCTTTATTGATTTGAGAGAGAGGGAGAGGGAGAGAGAAACATTGATGAGAGAGAACATCGACTGGCCGCCTCCTGCATGCCCCCACCTGGGGATTTGGCCCACAACCTGGGCATGTGCCCTGACTGGGAATCAAATGGGTAGCCTCTTGGTGCATGGGTCAACACTCAACCGCTGAGCCACACCGGCCAGGCTCATGTTGATTTCAATGAGTAGGGATTTGTCCAAGGCAGGCTGCCCAGAGCAGATTTCTATTCTTGAATCCAGGTTCAGGATATGCTCAGGATACTAGGAAAGAAGGGTATGGAGACTGAGGCAGGGTTGTGTGGTCTGACATGCCCAGAGAGGGGAACTGCTAGATTAGCTCAGTTTCTCCATCCAAAAGGCCTTCACCATTGAAGGAAGCAGGCTCGCCGGCCTTCGGAAATGCAGAGGTGGTATTCTGGTTCCGCTGAGGGAAGGGAGCTCCTGTGCCCTCTAGCATCTTCCTGTTCTTACTCACCTTTGGACTGGGAAGCCAAACACTTCCTTCCGGGGTAGTAGCCACCTCATCATCATCTCAGGTTACTCATGTGCTCTCTCTTTGGTGCAGAGAAAAGAAGTTAAAGGCCAGAGTTCAAGAGCTGGTGAGTGCCTTGGAAAGACTCACCAAGAGCAGTGAAATCCGACACCAGCAATCAGCTGAATTCGTGAATGACCTCAAGAGAGCCAACAGGTAAAATCCCCTCGTGTGAGTCCCCAGTGGTCCCTGGGCTCACACACCAGGGAGGAAGTTTCCTAACTGCTAGGAGCCCAGGGTGGAGAATGGCAGGTCCTCGCCAGCCCGTGAGCGCCTGGTCTTCCCTCTGGCACAGGCCCCGCCCCCCTCAGTGTTCCACAGGTCAAGACCAGTCCTTGAGCCAGTGTTTGGGGAATGCAGCACAGAAATGCATTGTGTGGCCTGTCTCCTCTTAATACTTTACAAGTTCTGAGAAGTCATGCCATGTTTTTAAAACCCTATTTGTGTTTATGCCAATATTTTTCCAATGAAACTGGAACACTTTGGAAGCACTGCTCTGAGACTCAGCTCGAGCATGTGGGCTCAGGACCCGCATAAAACTCCCAAAACAGAGGAGCTCCAAGAGCTTTATTCCTGTAATTATTTATCCATGGACGCTTCTCATTTTATAAACCAAAACAAGCCCTGGCCAGTTTGGCTCAGCGGTTAGAGCGTCGGCCTGCGGACCAGAGTTCAGGGTTCGGTTCCCGCTAAGGGCACGTGCATTGGTTGCAGTTTGTCCCTGGCCCAGTGGGGGCCGTGCGGGTGGCAGCCAGTTGTGTCTCCCTCACATCGATGTTTCTTTCTCCCCCCGCCCCCATTCTATCTGAAGGTAAATGCAAAAATGTCCTCTGGTGAGGATAAAAAAAAAAAAAATTAAAAACTAAAAATTTTTAAAGTTTCTATTAATTCGTTTACTAAAACAAATTCTTTACATGTAATACAAATGGCTTTTATTTTAAAAATAACTTATTTTACAAAAACAGAGTGGCAGTTTTACAATTTTGAAAAGTTTGAGAGTCTGGTTTAATAGAAGATAGCTAGAATCGCTCAATTGCTTCTACTGGCAGTATATTGTTTTGAAATAGATCAAGGATGAAAAATATAGGACCTCAAAGATCCCCCTGGAAGGGCTTTCAGAAAACTCGGGGGCCAGTCCTCAGGCCACACTCACAGAACCTGAATGCGCAGGAAAGGGGCTGGGTGCTGTTTTGGAGCACGGAGGACGTCAGGACTTACCTGCCCTCGTCCTTCTGGGCTCCCGGGGCAGACAGTGCAGAGGCCTGTATTCTGTCCGGCTGGCATTGGCTTAGGGCCCGTGCACTCTGAATCCCACCGGTCCAGAGGACAGAGGGGGGTCGTCCCCCATCCTAGGTGAGGCAGTTAGACTACAGTGCGTGGGGAACTCTTTCCTGTTAACACTTGACCATCTGTTGCAGGCAGCCATGAATGACAGACACAGTATTTGTATTTAAATGACAAGTTTCTGGACTTCAGCTCCCTTTCTGCTTATTTTGGAAGTGGCTAGTTTGGACCGTTGGTTTAAATCTCTCCTAATATATTTGTAACAAGCTTCTAGCGGTCAGGCTGAATTAACCACGGTTAAGCCAAGAGAGGAATGGCCATGAGTGTTGAAGTACTAACCCCTTGACTTCAGATTCTTGCTGGAGAGGCTGAGTGGTGCTTACTGAACTGGGTACCCAGGTGACGGGGGAGGGCCAGGGGAGGAAGGAGTGTGTGTGTCTCGATGCTGCCTCGGGTGAATCTTCAATCTCTTTCTTCTGTTCCTACATAGCAACCTGGTGGCTGCCTATGAGAAAGCTAAGAAGAAGCATCAAAACAAACTCAAGAAGCTGGAGTCCCAGATGATGGCCATGGTAGAGAGACATGAGACCCAAGTAAGGATGCTCAAGCAAAGAATAGCTTTGCTGGAGGAAGAAAACTCAAGACCACACACCAATGAAACTTCACTTTAATTGGCGCTCCGCCACCAAAGTTCTGCCCGAGGAAGCTACACCATAGGTGATCACCGGAGAGAAAAGGGCCCAGGGGAAGTACCTGTTGGGAGAATTAAGGAAGGGTGGCAGGTAGGTCAGCACTCGGACAATGGTGTGCCTTGGACTCAGCCCTGGAGGTGAGTGTCCCTGATGACACTGCGTAGACTCCATCCCCAGGATCCTGCTCCTCCTCTCCAGCCCCATGGCCAACTGTGCCACGCTCGGCCGTGCCTCCGCTTCCAGCACTGGCTTTGTCACTCTCCCCTTTTCTGTTCTGGAGGTTGTGCATCTGTGGTGTCCCAGGCATTGTTTTATAGGACTCTCCACTTTTCTTCTGTTTGATAGACAGTGACCTTATCTCTAGCATCCCAATTTCTCCTCTTTCCTTCTCCTTCGGGGGAAACACACGCACAGGTGTGTGTCTTGTATCTAGATTTGCTTCCTGCAACAAGGCTCTGGTTTTCAAGTCCCATGTGTCAGCTCTGAGATACAGGCTGTCACTCAGAGATGCTCTGGGAGGCAGATTACAGGAGGATGGCACATAGGGGTTCCTGGACACGAAGGTGTAGGTAGAGCAGCCCTGGGGCTATGCCTGAACATGCTGTACAAGAGAATGAAACTACTTCAGCTCTCATTGTGGAGGCAGGGCTGGGAAAGGAGTTCCCTCCTGACTTGTGGGGTGCCCCCACCCAGGGGGGCCTCATCAATAGCCAGGGCTTAGAGCTGAGAAAACGCTGTTGATGTGTGTATTGGAACTAAAATTTTACCTGGAATTTTTTTCAAGAGCAGAGGAGCATCTTAGAACTTTCTGCCCACTCCAGGGCACTACATAACTGCTGTTTGCATGAAACAAAGTTTACCCACAGAAGTACAGGTGTAGCTCCGGACCGGCCTCCATTTCTCCAAAGGCAAGAGGCAGGACAGTAGGCTGATCCCACCTATCTAAGAGGTTGCTACTGAACCGCCCATTCAAGACTTCGCTCCTGCAGTTGTGAAGGGCAGAGGGTGAGGGAATGGTCCTTGAGGCTCCTCCTTTTACTCGCCCCCCCCCCCCCCCCCCCCCAGACTTGGTGATGGTTATTTAGCATATGGTGCTTAAATCAGTTAAATTTCAAGCAAAATGCTGAGAGGGCTGGGCAGGACCAGAGTACCTGAATTCTTTCAGGAAGGGCTTCCAGCTTCAATTCGTTCCTTTGCTGCTGCAGCTTCAATTCGTTCCTTTGCTGCTGCAGCCTTCACTGTTTTACCCTTTCACTTTCTTCTGTAGTTGCCCTACAGAGACATTTAAAGGACCACTCGCCATGTGTTCTGTGCTCCTGAAGACCCATCCCAAGTGCCCACTGAGAAATACGTCCCAGTGCCACAGTTCACAAACGCTTGCTTATGACCAGGTCATCGCATTAGTGTCCCATGGCCATAAGATCAATGTTTTCAGAGAGCATGGATCAAAAGTCGCTCAGCCTTCTGCACAGTGGGGAAGGGCGGCCACTCTAGCCACCGCCTTGGAGGGCAGAGTTTTATCCCAAAGCAGCCAGCTTTCTCAGCCAAGCAGTGAGGCTGCCCAATCTTCAAAACAAGTCAGCTGGTACTGGTCTGGGTGCTTGGACCACTGAGAAAGTGTCGGCTTGTTCCTGTTAAGAATCTGCCATTCAGTTTAAGTTGGTTCCTGTAAGTGATCTTTTAAAATCCCTTTTACCTTTGGGTAGATTTCATTTTGTCGCAAGAAAAATGTTTTAGCTGAAAAGTATGTCCAAAAATGGTTTAACAGACAAAACCACACAGTTCCCCAGCTTGTGTAGGGAATGTCCTCCTCTAAGCACATGGGGAGCACGTCGAGGTGGGTGTGTGAGGTGGACACAGCTGTGGCTCCGGACACAGGAGTAAGTCCCATCTACCACCCTGTTAGGGCCATGTAGCCCTCGGCACATGAAGGTCCCGACTCTTCTATTAAGAGCCCCGTAAACTACCTGGCCTCATTTAAAGTATTATGTTGAACTATAAACTCAAACTATGTGGTGACTGGGTGAAAACTATTTCCCCAGTAAAACTGTTACTTAAATGTGTAGAATAAAAAAGCTATCATTAAATAGTTGATTTCCTTTCCTTGTATTTTTCACACACTCCCCACTTGGGGGGCCTACTAAAAGTGCATTGATTATTAAATGACTGCAGGTGCCTGGAGGATTTTCCTTTTTGACTACCTGAATTTTCTTTCTGAATAGAGAAGCTGGTTTACATTAACATCTCCATCAGAGGTAAAACAGTGTTCTTAATTCCAACTTGTATGAGGTTAAAAACACTTTTGGCCCATCATATTTTTGTCTTCATTTCCTCGGTGGTTTCTTAACCCTTTTAGGCAGTTGCCTTCTCTGTTGGCTCTTAGAAAGGACCCATTTCACAGTTCTCTCGGAGTATAGTTCCCACTGCTGAACTGAGGCAAAAAGCAGATAAGACAGAATTCTGGCGGAAGCTGCTGTGCCATCAACGTGGGCACTCCCACTGCATCTGCTGAGCTGCGTGCTCCAGCTACCCAAACTGCCACAGACTCTCACCAAAAGTGACTTATGATTACATTAAATGTCTATGCCCTCAGACAGCTGACACTCATCACGGCCTGCCCACTTCTCACGTTCTAGCCCCAGAGGTACACTAGATAGCTCATCACTGCCAATGCAGTAATTAGCTGTTTCATACTCGCTCGCAGCTGCTGGCATGTCAGGCTTCTGAAGTTAACGTCCACTGCCTAAAACTGGAAATGTCAGGTCAATAAAAAATTAAGTGCCAGTTAAACATAATTGCTTAATTCTCCCTTGAGGTGCATGCATTTCTTATAGAGTTTTCCTCAGAGCCTATAGCAATACTTTACAGGAACCTCAGAGAACTCTGAATTAGAGCCTATAAGGCTCTTTCTTAAAAACCATTAGAGAAGTAAAATCCCCACTAGCCACATCCTAAGAAAAACTGGAAACTATCTGACCGTCTCCTAATTCTATCTAAATTACGCTTCAACTGAAAAAGTGCCCACGGTGACCTGAGCTCCCTATGTCTCAGGCATGATTACCAACCTCCACAGTTTCCTTCTAAAGACATTTTCCCATGGTTCACAAAAATTATCCTGCAATGAATTTTATCATTAATTACCCTCTCATTTAGTGTACCATGCTTGTGTTTTAAATTTAGTGATAAGAAAGACATCAAGACTACAAAAAAAAAAAAACCAAACTTTTATGAATGACTTCTGAAAGTCATAAGGCTCCAAAAAGCTGTGTCATTTGCAAATGCATTAACTGGAAGTGTGTCTCCTCCATGAAACTATTTTCTCTGATGATTAATCAAAGTTTTACACTGAATTTAATTAGGGTATGCATACTCATTGTATTGCCCGAGGTGGGGAGTGAAGGGGACGACATAAGTAACGTTTTTGTTTTTTCTAGGGTAGGTGACACTAAAAAAATCTGCAAATATCATACATAGCAATTATTTTTCTATTTGTCAAGAAATAATACAATCACCACCTTTCACTGAGGCTTGCAAACTCCCTAGTGTGCAGAAGCTGGGCACTGACCTTTGTTAAGAGACAAAACAAAAAATTATGCCTGTTTTTGCACACAGCTCTCACTGAAGTTTATCCAAATCCTATTCTAGTTCGAAGTTAGCCCTGAACCTGTGGCCTTCTGCAGTTCCTCCTGACAAAGTTACTTTCTGACTGACTACACTTTTGTATTCAATATTAGATATACGCTTTAGGCTGTCAAGCAATAATTTTTTAGAACGGGAATCAAAATTATCAATTAATGTGATGCTGGCTGCTGCTAAAATATAAACAAGTGGAAAAAGATACAAGTTGGAATAGCAAAACAGGAATCCATGAACAACTGCAAATTCCTGTGTAAAGGAAGCTAGTTTCAGAGACAACAATTACATTTTCGGTTAAGAGTTATATTAGACACATTCTCTATCACTCACATCTGAGATTTTGCATGTGACAAGAAATCATTCTGTCCCAGTAACAGCAAGTACTATTGGATAACCACATCCTTGACCGGTAGTACTTGATTTTTTCATAGTCGAGGTAGATGCAAATCACTCACCTACTAATCACCTGAAATATCAGCTTGGCAGAACAGAGCAAGCTACATACAAGATTCCCTACATCCACACCAATGACTTGCGTCACTGTTCCTGCAAATCAAACCCATGTAGAAAATGTTGTTTGTAGAAGTCCCGGTATTCACTTACAGTGTTCATGTCAGGACTGCCACGTGGACAGGAGCCCCTAATTTTGTTTGAACCCAGTGCAAAGATAATGAAACATATTCTTTTCTATTTCTGAATTTTTAGACTTACTTTGCATGAGATTTAAGCTTCCTATTATTTGAAAATGTGCTACTTTTAAACCACTTGAATTAGAAAAACCTGCTTGAATGTATTGTCAGTTATTAAAGCACATGTGACTAAGTTTGCATTGTCAGTATTGTTCTACTGTTTGTATTGAAAGTCTCATTTTAAAGTTGTCTCTTAGCACTGTACTATACCTTGTAATTTTTTAGATCCTTCATTTATATGCTTTAAATGTTACCAGATGCCTTTAGTTTTAGCTGCTGTAAAATAGCTACTTTATGTTATTTGATATAGAATTGTTTTTTAAAATCTCCGTTTATTTATACAGAGACATTTATAATATTTTACAAACATTCTTATATTCTGAATAAATATTTCTAATTCCAGGATGTACTTTAACTGTGTTCATTAAAAAGTAATGTTGTCCTTCGTAATACAATAAGTTTGTCTAACATGTAACTATCAGATCTGTGGTGGTTCACATTAATCACAAGCCCTAGTCAAAGCAGGGGCTAGAAGACAGACTATAGTACTAGGTCAAAACAACCAAAGAACCTTATTTATCACCAATTTCTATTTGGCTACCTTTTCAAGTTTGGTATGAATGGGAAGTTTTTAAAGGACCCCACCCCTTTTTTTAAAATCACTTGTCTAAGACGGGAAATACATACCGATTATTTTTCTTGCAGAGACACTCTACAT